GCCCCGCATAAGAGCTACACCCGCCCTGCCCTGTCCCATTGCCATCCCTACATTCAGTGACTCCCCCTGAATGAAAACATTATTAAAAACAGATTCATTTTCATCAAATGTGACATCGGCTGAAACAAAGAATCTCTTGGTTGATGGTTGGTAACACTTATAGCCTTTTTGAGTAGGAGAATATTCTATGAATACACTTAAGAGCACGTGGATCTAATTTGCCTCTATTATCAGAATGAATGTGAACATAGGTAACACTCCCGAAGATTCTAGGAACCAATTTGCTGGAAACTTCAAAATTCGGGAAGAAACTCCTAAGAGTATCAAGTGGGCGTTTAAAATTCAGAATTCTTGATGGTATTCTGTTACTTCTCTCCGCTATCCCATTTTGTTGAGGAGTATTGACACATGAAGATTTATGAATAATTCCCTCTTTTTGGAAGAAAACAGAGAGGCTTTGATTGAAGTAGAACTTGGCATTATCGTTCAACCAGATTAAAAAAGGTGGGAAGGATATGGTTGCCGGCTGGCATTTGATTTTTGCTTTAACAAATAGATCCACGTTTCTCTCTTACAATCATCGATGAATGACAAACCATCTAGCACTAGAAATATTAGGAATGGAACAAGGTCCCCAAACATCACTATAAATAAGAGAAAACGGAGTCTGACATCTTTTGTTACTTATTGGAAAGAAAACACATTTATGTTTTGCAATTTCACAGTCTTCACAATGAAAAGACTCAACAACCAAATCTTTGAACAAAGATGGAAACGTCAACTTGATTACACGAAAGGACGGATGACCTAAGCGACGATGATAGAGCCAAACTTTCTCTTTATTGGACATGACAGATTCAGACACGAATGAACTAGATAAGGAATTCTTAGTTGTATCTCCACCAATGTGAAAATCTAGAAAATAAAGACCACCTTTCTCACTAGCACGTCCAATCATCTCCTTCGTGTTCTCTTCCTGAAATTGCACAATATGAAGAGAAGAAAGTTACTTGGCATTTGGAATCTTTGGTAACTTTGTGTACAAAAATGAGATTTGCAAATAATTTTGGATGTGAAGAACATTCTTAAGTATCAAAGACTTTCCCAATTGTATATCTCCTTGGCTAGCTACAGTAATAACTGAACCATCGACTATAGTTATTTCTTTATAGCTAGGGCAATGTGAATATGATATAAAGAGATGAAAGGAACAAGTCATATGATCAGTTGCCCCGGAATCAACCACCCACATTGGAGAAAATTTATCTATGATATTAGTAACAAAAGTGGAAGAAATACCCGCAAAGGCCAATGAACAAGTACCTGCCGAAGATGATATCTCCAAAGATTTCAACAATGCCTTCAGTTTGTCAATATCTCCATTATTGAATTCTGGGACTTGTGGACTTTTTTCATCAATCTGAGGGCAGCTATATGTGCTTGCTTCCTTTACGTTTTAGAAAGGTACGAACAAGCTGTGACCGTTTTAGGTAATTTTTCCCATTCAACCGATAAGAGGCGTGAATATTTTGCAAATCTCCGGTTGAAACTGCAGAGCTATGCTCTATAGTGGCAGAAACATTTTCAGAGGCTGGAATATTTGCAACAATACTCTTTGTGGACATGATTTTCAAATGGTTTCGACCTTTGGGCGGATAAAGAGGACAAATGTGATTTCAGAAGAAAATATAACCCGATGAATGAAAAAATAGGTCAGGAATAAGCCTAAAGCTCTGATACCATGTGGAAAGAGTAAGGTTCTTGAATAATTTCATTCATATCTTTAAATGTCATGTACATGGCTTTATATACATGAGAGGTTGAGAAGCAGAATCACCTAAATCCCATAAAATTTGGGATTAGGATTTTACAGA